TATATATATATATATATATATATATATATATATATATATATATATATATATATATATATATATATATATATATATATATATATATATATATATTGTTAAACATACCTGGAAAAAGTGGAATATCGGGATCTTGAGGAACATTTGCCTTAACAAGATGATTGAGGAACATTTTCAATTTTCCACACATATACGTTATGGGAGAATCGTAAGGGATCATGTCATACTTTTTTATCTGTCATTGAGATTGTGAAATGTTGTTCAATGGTACAGTCCAATTTTCCATTCAGTTTTTACACAATTTTGAAATATAATTGAAGAGGTAAATCCAAGATCCGTGGAACATTGAACACTTTTTCCAGGTCTGCATATGAACGTACGTACATTTTAATGGTATAATTATATTTGCACCAATTGTAAGAAGTATTTGTAGTCTTTGTATAATCTTGTTAATAGTAAATTCATATATCATGCACATAAAATATTAGAAATAATTTACATTTTAGTAAATATGCGTATAATTATATATACAATTATATGAACGCATATGAATTTTAATGAAAGCTATATTTGCACCAATTGTATGAAGTATATATATTATAATAATGGTGAGTAATTTCATAGATGTAGTATTTTAGGAAATATGCGCGTATATATGTATATAAGTATCGTACGAACGCATTTTAGTGATATTTATATTTGCACCAAGTGTATATCAATAACAGTATTTATACCATGCCTAGCTATCAATATATTATACGTAATGGCAGTATTGTAATATTATAATTAAGTGTTTAAGGCATATGATATGAAAATCGCGTTATCCTAAGTATCAACTTTTTACATGACAGTTCATTCAATTTGTCTCTTTAGTGATATTTATATTTGCACCAAGTGTATATCAATAACAGTATTTATACCATGCCTAGCTATCAATATATTATACGTAATGGCAGTATTGTAATATTATAATTAAGTGTTTAAGGCATATGATATGAAAATCGCGTTATCCTAAGTATCAACTTTTTACATGACAGTTCATTCAATTTGTCTCTTTTGAAATCAATTTTACAACAAATGAAAGCGATAAATATTTTGTTAAAGAGCTAGCGGCTTTCGAAGCCACCATGCATGCAATGTTTCATTGTCACGTTGAAATATACTGTACTGATTTTAAAATTTAAACGTTGGTGGGTATGTTTGTGTTGTTATATATTGTAATAATTGACAAATTGTGTTATATTATACATTGAATTTTAACTCCTAGCCAAAATAACGATACAATAAGTATTGGTATATTGTCGCTCGAAATAAAAAGAGAAAAAAGTCAAATAAATACAACCACCAGAAGACTTCAATGTGGGCTCTTTTCGCGCAAGAGTGATGTTTTTATATGAAAAACTGCGCAAGAACGGTAACTTTACCACGCTTGTAAATGCGCTTAATATGTTAAAATGTTACAGCACTTTATGTTGAAAATGAAGGACATATATATATGACGTCGATACGGCGTTCTGTAATAATTTTTGTCGTCTTAATCTTGTTTCATACTTGAGATCAGATATATTGAAATTGGTTCGAATTTAATATGAAAATCCACATGTGTTGCGTGCATACAATCAGTCATTGAAAATTTTGAGATTTTCCTTTTCTGAGAAGGTTTTCCTGAAATTGGGTCGATGTGAAGATTTTTGCAGACGCTACGCAACAAAAAAATTGAATGGAAATACATCAAATAGTTCAATTACTCATTATTTAGAGAGAATAACCGTATAAAGGACGATAGTTCTCTACCATTAAATGAATTTTTGCAATATAATAATAATTAGAATAACGTGTCATATGCCGTGTAATGTAAGTGATAATTAAATATAGACCTTACCGTTTATTCACTTTTCACCCAATGGCCTCGTTTTCGTGTCAAATACTTGCTCATGTTTTGTGCTTAGTAGGGTTGAAAATTACTTTGTTATTGAGCCTAAGAACAGCAAGAAAAACCTCGTCCAGTGGCGCTTTCCATTAACATGGCCAAACCGGTCAGAACGGTCAAATTGTTGAATGAAACACAAAACATTTGGGCTTCGGACCTAACCGGAAAATTTTGATAACATTAGAATGAGGTCCATTTTCGCTAGACATTTGAGAAACATAGAGCAGATCTTTCCTTTGATACAGAGAAAAGTATTCAGGTCTGACCGGTCAGGCCATTGAATGGAAAGCGCCCCAAGAAAACAAAATAAGTTAACATGGAAACGAGGTCATTGCAGGTAAAAGAGAATAATCGGTTAGGTCTATTGAAAAATGTGTATCCAAAAATGAGTGTATAGGAGGCCTGAATTCACGAACACGTGTTAAAAATGTTATTTTTTATTCACTGTGTATAATTATAAAGTGTAACTTATATTCTTTGCCATGTGTACTTTGGCAATACATTTTCTCTCCTTTTGCATGTTTGCAATGAGAATTATAGTCAAAGACTCAGGGGCGAAACTAACCCCTCTTAATTCGGGGAGGGGAGGTCTGCCAGAATTGCCTTTGCCAAAAACGATGATGCCCTGCAGCAAATTTTTATTTCTGAGACCATATTTTCCCCAAAAATGTTGGCGACGGGGTGGGGGGAATTTTTACCGGACATTAATTAAAAAAGATGGTCGAAAAAATTTTCCCGACATAAAGCAGTTAAATTAAGGTTCAAAACAATTCATCCGTACAAATTCCTGTTAAAACATGGGTGAAACCCTTTTTTTGGACCAATATCTGTAAAATTTAGGTCTATGAATAATTCTATAAATTCCCTCTGAAAACCCTGTAAGTTACTTAATAACTCTACATTCTATCATTTACAATCTTTGATTGCCCTGCCAATCCAGATGATTCGTATTTTGGGGGGTGTCACACCCCCATCAAGTTTCGCCCCTGAAAGACTGAATACCAAACGGTCGTTGAATGTGTTCAATCAACTCGTCTCTTTAATTCGATTTGAATGGTCTCGCGGTTTAGTCACTATAGTCAAAGACGCCGGGGGGAGGGCAAGCGCCCTTTCTGCTCTTTTCGATCTACAGGCAGCAAAAGTGCCCTTTTGGTTAGGTCTAAAAAATGTATATAATTTACACTCGCAATTGCCTGCTGACTTGACAACCTGGCAAATTCTTTGCAACTGTAGGGTTGAAATGATGCAGTAATGATTTTAGTAATTTAATTATCCTTACCAATAATTACCATGATTCTACCGTTGGATCATTTTTATGTGGCTTTAATATGAAGTTCAGTTCTACAAAAATTGTCAATTTTTTGCCGTGCACACGAGCAAATAAAAATTGTTAGGGAAAAGTGGCTCACCTGTATGGGGCTTAATTAAAGGTGTCTATTATCTCTAGTACGTCGGCCCATCAATCAGTTGGTCTACATTAGTTTCGGGGGTAAAGACCTACCTAAAATGCTCATGTTTTGTGATTGACTTTCAGAAACAAATATGATCATTGTTCGTGACTCGTTCTTTACACAGACGATTTAAATAGTTTTATTGTCTTTCATTGTTATAATCAACCAACCACGAGCCTGCATAGTATAAGTAGATCATGACCCAGTTTCGGTGCTTCTGCAAAACCCTCGGCAATGAGATTTAGAAATATCAATTCAACACACCTTAATTTCAATTTATTTAGGCACAGGCCTGATCAACTCAAATATACAACATATTGTACAATTGCATGTACGATTACGTACCTATTTTTATTGTAAATCAACCTTGTTCCGCCTTCTAACTCGTCCAGTATTTAATTTAGTCCACTGAATAAACTTTAAGTTGAAACCACCATATGTCGCAGATTTCGTTGTCTGCCTTCCACGAATAATAGAACTGCACCTATATATACGGCTGGTTTGACACACACATTTCGTTTTACAAATTTTATTCAACAACAATTAACAACTATACATTACATTACAATCTATTACCTTCTAAATCAAAACACTGTTCGTTACGATATTAATTTAAATAATCTTTAAAACACAATAACTAAATAATTATAAGTAATATCATAGCTACCTCGAAACCCTTTGTTTCGCGAGGGACGATTAATGACTAATTTACCTCGTTACTAAAACATGAGGGACGATCAGAAATTAACCATCCCACGGGACGATTATAGTTACTAAAGTAATTAGTAATACTCAATTAAATATTCACATGAAAAATCAACCGTAACCTCATTAACGAACATCCCAATAGTCATAGGATCAAAAAGCAAACGCGCTCATTTCAACTTATTCAGTCGAATGAAACCGTTTTATTGCCACATGACATTACGGTCGATTTGTGATGAAATGTCCCTCAAGCCAAGAGAGGTTTAGTACTTTTACTAAACCTCTCTCGGCTTTCGGGTACATTTAATCATATAACAGTATTGCGTAATTCTGTTATTTTAGCCAAACCGAGTTGCCTTGCTGCAGAGGACGCTAACAGCTAACTGTGTTTACACCAGGGCTGTCATTAAATTTAGAAGTAGCTGGCCAAAAAGTGATAATAGCTAGCCATTATATAGTAATCGAAGGCGCAAGACTCCTATGTGGGTCTAGCTGCACCCCATTGGTCTAAGCACCCAGGAAATCCCATTTCCCTTACGGGAGGTGAATTTACGGAGTTCTGCGCATTACAAAACGTCCCATTATAAAATGCGCAAAATGGTTCTTGCCTGACCAGTTTATAGAATCACTGGATCTTTTGTTTCAATTTTGATATTCTGAAGCAGAGAATAAAGAAGAATACTACAGTTTATTGCTTAACTTAAGTTTTGTTTATATAAAGTTTTATATAAATGACACAAACGTAGGCGGCCATAGTCAGTGACCCTTAATGATAGCAATGTTATTATAAGTATAAGCCAAGGCTAACTCTTTTTGACCACAGCACAACTTACGTCTTAACTACGAATTATTTCTAACACAAAATTTTCTATGGCATGCAATTAGTTAAAAACACAAATTATAATTATGTGTTATACAAGAACTGAAATGCGTGCTCAATAACTCGATTGAGCACGGCAGAAAATTCCTGTCTCTGTTTTGGGAAACATTTCCTCGAGAATTTTCACAAAACTTTTCATTGTTTTTAATCAATTATAAAATATAATTTGTTAAATAAAAACACTCGGGCATTTACTTTTGACATATAAAAGCCAGGGATAAAGCCCATATATGCTCGTACTGTATACATCGCAAAGTCAAAGAAAAAGAGTTCTTTTTACCGTGTTCGCCACAATGTTCGGCAGAAACATGTGAGAAAAACATACTTCTAAAACGGCAAAACTAGTTGGATCCTGGACACATTAAAATATGGTACAGTTTCCAGGATAGGTTATACCAGTGCAAAATAAATAAAAATCCAAATACTAAAAAAAACATAAACAGAGTCAGACCACGACTCAATGATAAATACAATTAACTGTGTGCTCCCTTTTTACCAATAAAACCAAATCTCTAAATTATCAAAATTTCAATTATCGTCAGTTTTTGAAGCCCCATGCACTTGCATTGGCAAGCTGGCAATGTCGAGCTGCCCGAGCAGCCGATTTTCTCGCGACCAATCAGAAACCTTTTCGTATTTTGTTTCTGTTAGGAGAAATTGAAATTTCATCAGGAAGAAAACTACTAGTCTTGTATTTTGATAAAATATTGTTATATAAAAGAATTTTTTCATGATTTGGCTTGCTCAATCGAGTTAGCGCCTCAAACTCTGATACTCTTTTCGTGCTCTCCCAACTTCTCGCGTGCGCCCAATAACTCGATTAATAGGCAATTCCAGCTTTTAGTTTATGCCTGCAGGGGATGATGGGAAGTAAGGTATCATATTGCTGATTATGCTGAAAAATTTCAATAAAAACTACCGAAACAACCGAAATATTTCAATATTTACAAGTATAAGCTATCACTCCGTGTTTACACGGCCACCATTTTTATTTTTCAGCATAATCAGCAATGTGATACCTTACTTCCCATCGTCCCATGCACGCATAAACTAAAAGCTGGAATTGCCTATTGATCACGCCAAATCATGAAAAAAATACTTAAGTTGTACTATCAATACCAAAAAAAATCCGACACAATACTAAAACAACTTATAACTAAAATAGTTTGTAAAGCGACAGTATATAACTGTTTAGATTATTTTAACCCTAACTTTCTGCATGACAATTATTGCACATGGTCAAGATCGGTTGACAACATTTCCTCCTGCAATGTACACAAATAATTACATAAGTAAACTCTACCCAGGAACATGTTATCAAGATTCAGTTAATTAAGATTCCGTTATCTTGCATATTTAAAGATGTGATGCTAATTAATTTATTGTATCGAGTTTTGCGGTTTTTTGCCATTCTCAATTGTACAGCATGAGCTCCACCTTTGAATTTACTATGTGAGTAAATTCTTAAGAGCGGTTGTCTGTAATAGTCAGGTAAGACGTGTAAAATGAGAAAATTCGAAATCCTTCAAACTTTGTCAGAATATAGGCCTATATGAAGTATTAATGTTGTGAAAGTTTTATTTCGATCGGATAAATATTGAAAGAGAGAGACGTCGAAATTGGTTTTCCCAGGCCACTTTCGATTTTTAGAGGTCATTTTACGGCACTACCAAAATCGCTCTATTTTGCACGTTAGTGGGAATATTTCACTAAACATGATTTTGTTTTATAAATTAGAGATATTTATTGATTAGCAGACGAAATTTAGAGACATTTCTGTAAAAAGTGAATATTTTACAGATTTTCTTATTTTGTTTTTATTTTCGAACCTCTTTATTATATGCCATATTAGGCAGCGAATATCTCCATTGTTACATCGATTCAGACAAAAAATTCATAACCAGATCAAAGAAATATGTTTTCCCTTGCTACTGATCAAATAAAATTTTTGGGCAACTTAGAATTGAATTTTTAACGATTTTTTTCGTAACCCCTATTTGACCGAAATAACCGTATGTTAATATAATCAGCGTCGAGTCATGTAGTTCAATAAATAACCAAAGAGCTCGTCAAAAGCGTTTATTTCTTCGAGTAAACAAGCCTAGGCCTATAAAACTACCTTAGCTAAAGCTGTACGATTGGCTGAAAGCATTTAGGTCTAAATCACACTGTTTACAGTCGCTTATTGTTCAGCTAATGCCCGATACTCGATAGCCGGTGCCGCTGATTTGGCAGATTTGGTTTCAATTATATTTTATCAGGGATATGCCGCGATAAGTATAGCGAGTATATTTTCTCTCCCCCTCCCATAAACTCGTGTTCTCACATAAATAGTGCACACGCTTTTTGTAAAAAACATAGGCCATTTGCAAGGTCATACGATGGAAACGTCGCATTGTTTTGACGTTTTTTTAGTCGTATTTCCGGTTGGGATAGCTCACGCGATTGTCTGAACAAAAATATAGACTAGCCATACCTTTCGTCGAAAATAACTTCGACCCCTTCAAACATATCGTCTTTGTAATAGTCCTGTTCGAATCTCCATCAAAAACACTATTTAGGTGCTGATTACATGGTGCCGAGCTGGCCCGGTTAACCGGGCTGACTCGTTTGTTTAGGACCTTACTGTGGTTTTAAAACTCGTGTAAAATAAATTTGCGATAAATAATTGGTTTATTATAGATGCAAAATTATCCTAAATCCGATTTAAAACTCATTTTGCGGCCCAAGGAAGATTTTCGTGACATTTTTCAGCCCGGTTAACCGGGCTGGCCCGGTCCATGTAATCAGCCCCTTAGAGTGTTATTTGCAAGCCTGTATCTTCAAATTTGCATCTTTTATCACGGTATTTCCATTTCTTGTTCGGCTGTGAGCTCGAGGCTCGAAGTAATTTGATAGTATACGATCGCATTTGACTTTCAAACTACCATAAATCGCTATACAATGTTAATAATGACTATAACTACACTGTATCGTTCGGAATTAGTTGATCTTTTATTTCTGAATCGAATGGTGGTATTTCTGTCTTCAAAGGCATAGCATGTACTGATCCGAAGATATGAAATTTCTAGCCGTCAACCTCTCGAGGACGACGTACCCGATACCTCGCAAAGAGTTTTAATTTAATTAATATTAAAGCTGGATTCTTTCACCGTGATGTCATGCCAAAAGATGTCTTTTCCATTTGTAAAATTAATTTAAAAAAGATCCCGGCTCTATATATTGATTTGTGATTTGGTAATATTAATTACAGTTGTATATTTGATTATTTTGTTAGTGCTCAATAAGTTTGAATTTGTTCTGAGAAAACAGTCAAACTTCAGACCAAAGTCTACGCTGTTGCTTATTTAGTAGTTTAATTAATTAACTGCATAGTTGGTTTACAAAATGAATTCCGTCTTTGTGGATAAAAATTAGTTATAAATAATCTCTCCTGTATGTGTTAAATGCTACATGTAGGGATTTCCCCAGGTTAAAAAATTCGGCCCCCTTCCTTTTCGGAGGCCCCCTCAAAATGTTTTCTGGTAAAGCAAAAATGTTACAGTAAAATGTAAAGGGTGGGAGGGGGTGGGTGGGTCGGGCGACGTGTTTTGGGAAAATCAAAATACTTTTCAGACCTTTTTCGACTTCAATTTTAGAACACGTTGCGCAATTCCAGCATTTCGAGGCCCCCTCTGGGAAAGTTGGGCCCCCTTTCAAGTTGACTTTTTTGGCCTGAGAACTGTCTGAGTGTTCTAGATGTATCATCCAGAAATGGTTGGATAAATGTAGCCTAATTGAAATTGGACCAAAAGTATATGTCAGATAACGCGTAACCACAAACAGCCATACAAAAGAGAAGAAATATACCGGGGAAATCCCTACATGTAGCTTAACACAAACAGGAGAGATTATTTATAACTCATTAATTTTATCCACGAAGACGGAATTCATTTTGTAAACCAACTATTGATTTCATGGATAACTCACACGTACACGTTGTCTTTATCTTCTTGCTGTTTTAAAAGTGATGGCCAGTTAATTAACAGTGGGTAGAAGTTTGGTCTGAAGTTTGACCAAAGTTATTGAGCAACAACAAAATAATCAAATATACAAGACATACAACTGTAGTAAATATTACCAAATCATAAATCAACAGCGGGTCTTTTTTAAAAATAGAAAAGACAGGTTTTGGCGTGACATCACGGTGAAAGAATCCAGCTTTAATATTAATTAAATTAACTACTGTAAATAAACGAATTACAATTTCAACGTAAAATGACCGATGTTTTTGACAAAAAGCGCGTGCACTATTTATGTTCGAAAAGTTATAAGCATGACGAGTCGTGAAAGAACAGATGTTTATGGGAAGGGGAGAGAAAATACACTTGCTATACTTATCGCGGCATATCCCCGATAAAATATAATTAAAACCAAATCAGCGGCGCCGGCTATACAATATATTATAGGAATTACCTGAACAATAAGCGACTGTAAACAGTGTGATTTATACCTAAATGCTTTCTGCCAATCGTACAACTTTAGCTAAGGTAGTTTTATAGGCATAGGCTTGTTTACTCGAAGAAGTAAACGCTTTTGACGAGCTCTTTGGTTATTTATAGAACTACATGACTCGACGTTGATTACACTGAACATACGGTTATTCGGGTCAAATAGGGGTTACGAAAAAATTCGTCAAAAATTCAATTCTAAGTTGCCCAAAAATTTTATTTGATTAATAGCAAGGGAAAACATGTTTCTTTGATCTGGTTATGAATTTTTTATCTGAATCGATGTAACAATGGAGATATTCGCTGCCTAATATGGCATATAATAAAGAGGTTCGAAAATAAAAAAACATTAAGAAAATCTGTAAAATATTCACTTTTTACAGAAATGTCTCTAAATTTCGTCTGCTAATCAATAAATATCTCTAATTTATAAAACGAAATCATTTTTGTGAAATATTCCCATTAACGCGCAAAATAGAGCGATTTTGGTAGTGCCGTAAAATGACCTCTAAAAATCGAAAGTGGCCTGGGAAAACCAATTTCGACGTCTCTCTCCGTCAATATTTATCTGATCGAAATAAAACTTTCACAACATTAATACTTCATATTGGCCTACATTCTGACAAAGTTTGAAAGATTTTGAACTTTTTCATTT